GGGGGCGGCGCTCCGAAATTCACGCCATACAACCGATCGGCGGCTATAGAGCCGCTGATCGGTTGTATGTGAAACAGCCGTTAACGGCTGTAGTAACGAGCGGGTCTTTCCTGCCCGGGGGCGCGCGCGAGCAGGAAAAAAATGCCGTCAGGAGACGGCAACCCGCTGATGCGAGTCTGCCGTCCGTCCGTTTTTTCTTAACGGGCGGACGGCAAGAGGTTAAGGGGAAATTAACAGTACAAATTTAATCGTAGGATATTTCTGCAATCATTCTGTTCACAAACTGCAGTTTATTAGTTAGGAGTCCCTGCTTTATGCTAGATGACAAATAACGGCTATAATGATGAGCCACAAGAATCTAGCCATACCACCGTATGTCACATTCAATAAAACTTTATTTAGCTGAGCTGATTAAGACCCTGCAACAATTTTGAGAATGATGTACAATAATAATTGACTAAGATCCTTATATAGTTTATAACATTCCCCAAAAAATAGTGTGTGTAGGGACCTGAAGCATTTGTATGTGGGGAGAAAGATTGGTGGCACACAAGAAGCACCATGTGCCACAGTAGCTCTGTGTTTAGAACTTGGGGAAATGCACAGACATTGCAATGACACACTTTGAAATGGTGATGCATCTTGCAACAAAAGTGACCATTGGTAACTATGACCTAATCGAACCATTTAGACATAAGCTGCAACAAAGTCAAATTTGAAGAGCAAACTAACAATTTTTATTCTAATTAACAGTGTTTATGTACCAGATATAGACTGTTTATGAGCCAAAAATCTACAATGCCATTATAACAATCCAGTAGCTGCCTAAACTATTCTACAGAATGTTGTATTGTTTGAAATATGAACGTTCACACCTACCGGCCTTTTATTCAACCAAATATTAGTCAAATTAAGGCCATCTCTTCGAAGGGCTTGACTTGATGTACTGGTTGGGTATTCTGGGTCAGGTGTCCCTTTGGCATTCATATAGGCTCTCCCACCTCCCAGAATCACCTGCCAATGACAAAAATACATTAAGAGTGTGGAAAAGTTGTATTTCATCCACTTGAATTAAATGTTCTGTTCGTAATTACATCAATGTCGGTGTTGTGCACAAGCTGGTACGCAATATCCTTGCAGCCACTGTTAATCATATTCACGGTCATCTCATTGTCAGAGTACCAGTTCCTATCGACAATGTGAGCATAGGCCGCAGCTGGAGAGGCATGTTGGACACGTGTGGTTGTCACAATACCCACTGATTTACCTGTAAAACATTGTGATAAGGAACACACTTATTTTGGCAATGTTCTGAGATTTCCTTTACTTAATTCAAACTATTTTGTTGAGATTAATAAAAAGAATAAAGTTGCATGATTTTAAATTTCTGCATTCAACTCGGTGGATATCTGTCATAACATGCAACATTCCTAATGGATTTCTTGATAAATTAACAGGAGAGAAATATGGGAGCAGCCATTGCTGACTTTCGTTATATCTTGTCTTGTCTTGACTTGTGTTGAAAAGTCATGTATAATTTTTTCCATGTCATGAAAGTTGAGATTAGAATGTCAAGTCAGGTGAGCAACAGCAAACATTATATTTCTATCTTAACTGGTTCTTTAAAGCCATTTCAATACATAGCAACTGGCCCTCTAAGTCATTACACATTTGTGTTGCCTGCTAAGACTGGGGATCCTCATAGCTTAACTTGTTTCTTTACACGTTGTGATAAAATAGCATAACAAACATGCATAATTACACCTCACCTGCTAGTTTAGCTCTGTGAAGAATAGAATTCACCTCATTTCCATTAGCACTAGTGCAGACTCTACTCTGAACAGCAGCGCTCACTCCCAAAGTTCCAGAATTGGCTTTAACTCCACATAAGTAGGCGGTTCCAGTGCCTGCACTGTCTGGAACCTGGGCATCTACATTGTACACCTACAGAGCAATGAGGAAGTAATGATCAATACCTGCAGTAGTGAACATGTGTGTATCCTATAAGGGGCATGTTTCTGGCCTTTTAAGAGTACAGATAGTTTAGCTACAAGACAATGGCAACCACGGCAAATACAATAGGATGTAGTGTGAAAATAAAAAGCTAAAAAAAAACACTGACACCACTAATCACCTTAGTTTCCACACTTCATATGCTGTGGTGTGTGTTACATACTCTGTCTGTCGCACTATGTATGCTGCACATTTCATACTCTGGAAAGCTGTCCTCTGCACAATGAATGTGCTATACATTATCCAGACTGCTGAACTCTGTAGAATGTGTTGTATGTTACATACACTGAGTGGCCAGATTATTATGACCACCCCATCAGTACTATCAGTACTTCGTCGGGTTTGTTAAATCGCATTGTTTACCCATATCTTCAGAAAAAAAATAACTTCTACTGTCGTGGTAAACAACCTGCTTCCCTATTTATGATGGTCTGGCCCTCAGGCAACTTCAGCACCAAATTATAGGTAATTTGCCTACAAACGTCAGGTGGTCATAATAATCTGGCCACTCAGTGTATACTGGACCACTACACTATATTGCTAAACATTATATACTTCTAAACACTGCATTCTGTATACCATGCTGTATGATAAATAATTTGAAACACTGCATGATGCACATCATGTTGTACATTACATTGCGCATGCCACTTCACATTGTACACCGTTTTATATCTTACATACAACAAACAATGCACTCTCTACATTGAGGTTTACATTACATAGTGTTGACCTTTGAGTTCTATATTCTGTGTTGTATATTACATGCACTGAACCACTAGGCAGAGCTTCAAGCGAGCTCTGTTTCATTGAGTCAGGGACCTTGAATCTCCAAATAGTCACTTAACCTGCACCATTGCCACGGGCCGTTTGCTGTCCACTAGCTGAAGTCTAGGTGTGAGCTAGCAAGGGGTATTCTGCAAAGCAGTGTGTGCGTGTATGGGGGGGGGAGCACTTGTTAGGGCATTAGGTTTTGGGAGCCTAAGTAGTAATTGGTACTTAATAAATTTGAAGTGAGCTTGCTAGGTGATCATGGCTCCCTAGGCCATGGCTTATGCGTTCTAGTTCCAGATCTGACTCTGCTCATACTCACCTTGGAAAGAGCCACATATGGGAATTTTTCCATCTCCAAGACATTCTCTTCTCCAGGTTGCCCAGCCAGCTGTCCCTGGTAAATACGAGCTGCCGTAATTGTGGCCACACCCATTCCTGAAAGAAGGTACAAAAGTCCCTGAACTATTAGCTATTCATGTATCCAGTTTGAGTTATTGAGTATTCGTAAACATCTAACAATGATTGATTCTCATTAGCTAGCTACCCGTTTTAATTTCCAACATTAAAGTGACACTAAACTCAGAGATTAAATCCTAGAAATGCATTCAAGTACCTTAACTATTAATGGAGAACTATGGGGTTAAGGCTTTTCCCCATAGTTCTCCTTAGGGTAACGGGAGGACACAAACTAGCGTCCTCCTGTCACCCTAGGCTCAGTATACCGCGAGCTGTAGCTCGCGGTATACTGAGACGCCGCATTATACCGCAAGCTGCTGCTCGCGGTATACTGAGACGCCGCAGCTGAAGCAGATTCCCGACAATTGTGCCGGGATCCGCCCAGCTGCGTGACTGACAGCTGGCTCTGCCTATCTAGAGGCAGAGCCAGCTGTACCCGCCCCATCCCCCATCCGTTCCGCCAGTCAGCGCTGGCGGATCGGAGCGGGGAGGGGGGAATCCAGCCCCTCCCCTGTCACGGAAGAGAGCCGTGACAGGATCGAGAGGTGAGCGAACGCCGGTATGTGTTCGCTCACCTCCCGATCTACTGAACCAACCTGTGACAGTCTCATTGTCACAGGTCGGCTAGAACTATGAGGTGAGTGAAAAGCACTCACCTCATAGTTCTCCTTTAAACAAAATGTATCTTAATTGTGTATCACAGGTGTAGATCCTCAAATCATCCCTGAATTCATGCTGACACTGTCCTTCCTTCTGGAGGATGGCTACTTTTGTTCCCCATGGTCCCTGTTTATTGTAAAATAGCCACCACTCCAAGCTCGCTAATGTGATATTTGAGACGAATTTGAGATGATTTGAGTATCTACAGCTGAGTGATATACAAATAAGATACGTTTGTGCTAATAGTTAAGGTACTTGAATGTATTTTTAAGATATAACTCCTGATTTTAGAACCACTTTAACACTGTTACTAGCACCCGATCCCCAAAATTAGTATTACTGGCAGTGTGGTGCAAAAGTGGTTATATGGGGGAAGAATAATTGAAACCTCAGTTATCCTTTATACAAATTGTTACAAACAGCCCCTTTGAGTCCAGGGCGGCATTGTGGATGGGATTTAACTGCCCCCTAGACTGTGGCATTTTATGAGATACAGTATGTTAGTGGTAGAGTTGTGTAGCAGTATGCTGGGGGTTAAGCACTGGCCACACCCTTTCCCTACCTAATTCTTCCCTGGTATGAGCAGTGTGTGGTGTGTCAGAGAGAGAGAGAGAGGTACTGTATGAAGACTGTGCTGGAACAGACTGCAGGTCTAAGCAGACCCAAAGAGTCCAATAGCTAGCTAGGGGGCTGAAAGGTTTGGTGTGTATTAGACTGTGCACCTTGGTTCAATGAAGTAAACCTGCCTTTATTAGCAACCAAAAGACATGTCATTTTTCAAAACCTGCACAGGATAACTTTATCAGGCAGATCACTTTTTCTGATGAAGGGACCCTATGCAGGGTTTCGAAATATCGCCTTTTTATTAGGGATGTTCAGGTACCAAGTACCCTACTGGGTACGTGTACAGATACTTTTCCAGCTCCAGGATTATAGTAGAGAAAAATTCAACAGTTAGGAGGCAGATGTCATTTTTAAGGAGCATACGGAGCTCCTAGGATTTGTGTATCCCCATTTTAATGCATTATTTTTTTAAATAAATATATATAAGTGGTGCACCGATACCATTTTTACAAGTACAAGTACTGATACTTGTCCAAGTACTCACAGAGCCCGGTCCCAGCTGCAACTGCTGCAGCCCTGATAGTTCTTGTGAAAATGGCAAGTATCGGCACTGGTATCTGAACTGGTATCTGAATTGGTATCTGGACATCCCTACTTTTTAAAGCTAATAAATGTGTTTTTACTTTACTTAATCCAGGTCTATACATTTTGCTTCAGTTCCTGTGGCTTTATCCAAACATTGCTACAACATGCCACTACTGAAACAAGGAAATATATATATATATATATATA